TAGGTCGGCCGGAAATGACGTCAGAGTGACGTCATGTTCGGCCGATTTCGACGCAAAACATTGAACCACGGCAATCACTCCCAAGAGCTCAGTTTTTAAGCTAGATTCAATTTCTTTGCATGAGAGGACTCAGAATAGACTGCGCTATCAAACTGCTATCTCGGTTTTTCGAAATTTTGAAAATTTTGAAAATTGTATATAAAAAATTTAAAATTTATATTTTTACATTTTTAAACTTTTTGACTTTTCGAAAAAAACCGGAATATATGTGATAGAACGCATTATAATGACTAACTCTAGCAAGTTTTAGCTAAATATCTTCAAAAATGGCCAAGTTATACGCATTATTGCAAAAAATTAACAATTATTAATTTTTCAAATCATTTTTTTCAGCACGAATTTGACATCGTAAGCCAATATAAATAGCACCATCGTGTTCCTGAGCTCAAACCGCATCCAATAGACACCTTTTTTGTTGAAAAATTTTAACTTCAAAATTTGACCTTTTTTGACCTGAAAGTGACCTGACCTAAGCTAAATTTGACTCAAAATGACCTCGAATGACACAGACGACATCAAATTCGAAATTTTTGGCCTAAATGGACCATAAAACATGTGTCACGTGACCGACGGATGATATGTTATTTTCGTGACCTGTGATGACCTGACCTTGACCTGAAAATCAAAGTACAAATTTGGTACCCTCAAAGTATCTAGAGCATCTGTTCACGAGCGTGTGAACCAAAAATGAGCCTGATCTGACTTGTAAGACGGCGGCCAGAGCCCAAAACGTGAAGAAGCCAAAATGCTAATAATTTTTACTTTGACCTGACCTGTGACGTCATCGGTGACCACGAGGTCAATGAAATTAGGTTTTGCTCGACAGTTTTTCCGGGGCTATCAGACGCCGTTTGAATTTTGACGATCGGCCCAGTAGTTTCGGAGTTAGGAGGGGGGGCTATGAATAGCCCCCCCCCCCCCCCCAGTAGGGCGTGTTATACGCAGACCCCAATGGGGCGCGGGTTAATGCATTATTTCACGTGGCGCAATTAGGGCATGCTGTGCCTAAATGCGCCTTTTGCAGGGGTTAGGAAAACCGTAATCTTTTCCAATAAAATGTACTTCATTTATAAGAGTGGAGGTAGATTTAACTACAGGGTCCGGCAAAAGTCTTGACGTAGTTTTAAAATCGTTCCATCCTTCAAGCCATTGTAAATAAAAAAGTTGTTCAGCGCTCAATGTATTGTCCACGGACAAGCAAACATTTGCAAACACGTTTCGGCATACTGGCCACGAGAGTTGAGAGCACAGACGGCTGCATTCGTGACCACGCAGACTTGAGCTGCGTCTCCAGCTGCGCGAGGTTGGTTGCTGGCGTTCTGTTTGTCGAGGTCTTGCTGGACGATCGCCCACAGCTCTTCAATTGGATTTAGGTCTGAACTGTTCCCCGGCCACTCCTCCTTCGCCCAGAAGTGCGGCAGGTTGTCTCAGCACCACTGCTGGGCTGTGGCAGAGCGATGCGCTGGAGCCCCTTCCTGCATGAAGATGGCTTTCGACCTCTCAGCCACCATCCGTCGCTTCAAAACAGAGCCGTTTCTGGGCCATTTGATGGCAGACAGGCAGGATTCCTCCGAGATGGTCTCCACATAATACTTGGTGTCCACCTTCGTCTTGGGCGGGATGACGTGGAGCAGCTCACCGGAGCACTTGATGTGACATCATCACCCACACCATCAACTTCGCTGGGAATTTGACTGGAGCTGTGGGCCCACTGGCTGCGTCGGGCGCCCAAATGCGGCCATTCTGGCGATTTGGTGGGTGCACTGGTCGGAGAGGGGCGCCGACATTATTCGCGACCAGACTTTGCGACATTCCCGCTTGAATCATGCCGATGGCTCGATTCCTGAGGCTGACATCGTAATATTTGACCATGGTATTTTCAGCCTTCATTTCAACTGCACGCTCGCTACTCAAATGACCTCGCACAATCAGCCGTTGACCAGAATGTTATCCGTGGTCTCATACCCCGGGGCACAATAGATGCGCGGACCCAATGGCGTTCAAAGCAAAACGCTGGGTGGGGTAAAACGCGCCTGGGAAGACACAGAAACTAGAATACCACATACGACAAGACTTTTGCCGGACCCTGTACATAGAAAAATGTTCATCGATCGTTATTAAGCAGAGACCGCATTCACCAGACACATGCGTTGCTTAAGCACAGGTTGAGTTTCTGCTTAAAGGGACCCTCCCACCTTAACATTAGTTTTGAGTTGAGATAGCCAAGTTTGCGGCCAGGCTCAGAAACCACCATTTATCCTGGTCGCAACCCCCGCAGCTTTATGGTGTTCAAGAAATTTCTTCCCTTTTCTTGCAGGGTGGGACCAGCGTGGTCCCTATCTCATTACCATTACGGGAATCTGATGACGTCATCAGGCTTTCGAACGTCCGTTAAATGTTTGACTAAAACGTTTTGTAGCACGCGGTGGTATATGCTGCTTTGCGCGCAACAAATGCCGCACTTTCAAATAAAGTCGCTAGGAACAGCGGAGATCCCAAAAAGTAAACAAAAGTAAAAGTCTAATATCTTGAAAGCCGGTGAATATTTTTCGATGAAATTTGGTAGATATTCGTTTTTGCTCTTTCTGAACCGAGCGACATCACTTTCATGCCAATTCATTAACTTTTTTGAAGGTGGGAGGGTCCCTTTAAGCGGGCGCATAATGGTACCTAACTTCCCCTACTGCGGTACTGTCTACCTTCAAGTTGCTTTTTAGAATAGGCACTACGGTACAGGCTACCTCCCAGTCGCTAGTTAAAATAGGTACTACGCATGGGCTCCGCCACCGTGGGGGGGGGACAGGGGGGAAGTGTCTCCCCAATATTTTACATTTTTAACATTATGCTTATGGGTGCTGCATGGAAAGAATCGACTTCAAACGGCCTTCGTCCCCCCCCCCCCCCCCAACCATCGGGTCGTGACGGAGTGGAGCCCTTGGGTACCTACAGTCTACCTCCCAGTTGCTGGTCAAAATAGGTACTGCAGTACAGTCTACCTCCCACTTCGCAGTCGATTGGTTAATCGATGCGGTACAGTCTACATTCCAGTCCTTTTCCGAACTGCGATCGACGGCATTATGTACTATTTAGGCCCGTAAATTGTATTCGATACTTTGTTCGCCTCGCGGCTAAAACTGCATTTTCCTCCGACACAGTTAGGTATGTCGATGGAGATTGAAGGAAGTAGGAAGAGTGAAACAGAGTACCGATCCATTGGCGTGGAGACGGCTGGTATCTTTCATCACTCAGCACGATGACTGAATAAACACACCACTTCTGGAGGACAGTGTCTGTTGCCTGTCGGCCGTTCTCATTGATCAATTAACCATGCTCCATGGTTGTACTGTAGGTACGACAGCATCCTACGCCTGGAGCCGCACTATGGCTACAGCCCTGTAGCGTTGTGAATCGATTTGCAACGGTATGTTGTTTCTTATCTTACGGTTGAAAGGGATGTGGATCTTAAATATTCTTTTTTTCTGATCGCGTCCAAATCTACATACGCTCCTAGCCAAACATCAACATCCACTCGTGTTTTCATAGAAACTGACAACTGATAAGGATAGGTCTAGGTTGGGACGATTACTTAGAACCAAAAATTATTCATCGTACTATGCATTCTGCTTTCCCTTTTTAGTGATCGCTCAGCAGCCTTCTGAATTCCTGTGCTATTGTTGCTGAACGTTATCCGATAATTCCTGAATATTGATGGCCATGTGCTGGTTTCTTGCGATGCAGATTCTGCCGAGATTTAGCCTAATCAGTGGCAGACGGTGCAGGAGCGGATTCCGACCGGTTGCCTGTGTGCCGCGGTGACCGGACACAAGGCCGTCCGGTCGTCCGCCCCCCACGCCGATCACTGGGGAGCTGCTGCCCGTCCCGTGCCCCGGTCGGGCCGGGCCGAGAGGACGCTGCAGTGGCCAGCAGATAGGGCCTACTGTGGTCAGCAGCTTTTGCCGGTGATTGGGCGCACTATGATAAAAAGACGACGATAAATTCAATGACCGGGGTGTGCCAACCCAACGTAGCCAGCAGCCTTCCATAGCCACAGCCCACAAGGTGATTATTTTAAGGTATGTTGCAGAAACTGGATGCGAATAAAGTCCTTCAGGACTCTTCAGCTGGTCGTATTCTCGTTATTTATACTTTGGCTCAATATTCGTTTCGAAGAAGGCACATTGTTATTGCTTTAAAATTCTTTAATTATCAGCCATCCACCCAGAGATGTAATCTCCCTGCAGTGCCGAAAAATTAGCGGGAACCAATCAGTCTCGGCGGAGATGTGACGGGCAGGAGCCGGCGTCATGCTGCGGTCACCACAATCTGTTTATCGGCAACATCAGCAGCGGCCGGACGACGCGAACAACATCCATCCATTATACTGGTGCTGCACGGCGCATATCGAATTCAAGGCCGCCAAATCAGGTCCCTGGAGTGCAGAGGGAGCGCCCCGGTATGTCGCATCGGACAGGGCGACTCCGACGGCGCACACCAGCATGTCTCTTATCAGTTACATCACGCGTGCCGCGCACAAACTAAGTAAATCGCACTCATTGCGATAGACATCAGATGCGAGGGGATTGTGTGGGCGGTTAGTTGCTGATGCGAATGAATTGTCCGGGCGGTTAGTTGCATTGTTGAGGCGCAGTTGTGCAAAACTGCGGTGATTGTAAGCAAGGTCACTTCAGAAGATATGTTGCATCCCATAATTAATACCCAGAATCGGAGCAGAAAAAGTAGCCGCTTACGAAACCCGAAACGGGTCTACACAGGAAGCGACCAACCGTCGAAAATTCCGAAGTGTCACATTCAAACGTTCAGACTTGTTTACCGTACATAATGCAGGTACTTGAGTTCTGGAATCGCAAGGTTATACAGAACTGATGATACGATGAATTCCAATGACGGTTAGACCTTCAGGATTGGAGCATACGATATGATTGCCTTTGAAACATATATTTACAAGGAAAAAGAACATTTGAAGACATACAGTAAAACTGATTTTCGATCTCGTTAAGATGAACTGATAACCGTCCAAAAGAAAATAGAACTGAGAACAGGAACACAATCAGATTTACAATGGCATGCACGCGGTAACACAGCGCTAGATTCACATCCGACGCAAACATCACACACGACTGACTGATCATTAGCGAGGCACAGCAGAACCGGACTTCACAGATCTCTCATGCGCACAGGACATATTGATTCGACTAACAAACATTGCGCGCTGTTCATGACGATAACACCAACCTAATCACAGTCTATTTACAGTCGCATGCAATCCGAGATTATTATCGTAAAATAGCTCCGTGATACCGACCCACCGACCAGGGCGACCTCTATAGCAGATGGTGAGGTATCAGAGCTTCAAGTTCGTCCGCTGTGCGGCGCAGCAGGCCGGCCGACTGGCGGTAGCCGTCGACCAGAGCACGCACAGCTACCGCCTCAGGGAACGAGAGCGGAGCGTGGGGCGCCCTCCGGAAGAACAGATCACCGCCTGTGAAGACAGGGCAGTCAGAGTGCTGTGCTGGCAAGTCACGGCGGTGTTGCCAGTTCGAACAGCCACAGGGCGTGTTCATTACGATCTGCAGCCGAGCGGTATAAAAACGGTAGCCTAGAGAAATGCTTCTTGATGTGCTGTGCAAATACAGTAGTAGTGATTGCGTCATAGGAAATTAACCAAAATTTATGAAGAACTTCCCATAAGGATAAGTCATTGTATTTACAGCATTTCCTCGCTAATGACCGCTCTCCGCGATATACCGATCTCCCGTCTCCCGTCCGGCTGCTGTTACCTGCGCTGTGTGACGGCGGGGCCGGTGGCGGCGCGCCGGCGCGGCCGGGCAGCACGTGTCTCAGCAGGTGTCCCACGTCGGCGTGGAACACGGCGCTGGTGGGCGGTAGGTGGTTGAGCAGAGGCGGCAGAGGCGGCGGGTAGGAGCGCTCCGCAGCCGAGACCGGCGGCGGGGCCGGGCCCGGAGCTCCCGAGGAGGTCAGGTACGGCGGCAGAGACGGCATGGGGGCCGGAGCAGGAGCCGGAGCAGATCCCGGGGCCGGGACAGGAGCCGGAGGAGCCGCAGCAGGTCCCGGAGCAGGAGCAGGAGCCGGAGCCGACTCCAGCGGCGGGACGGAGCTGGTGCTGACAGACTCGCCGGATGACTCGGGAGGGATCAGCGAGGCGAGCTGCCGTAGGAGCGCACACAAATTCTAAGAGTTAGCGCCATAAATGGACGCCGGCAGACCATTTACATTCAGTTTCTCCCGGGATATTCCACACCACCAGCCTGTGATATCCAACATTCAAAAAAGAAACATCGGACGCCCATAATTCTGTCGCAGTGCTTAACATAAAACATTCCAAACAATTATCAAAGCGTCTTGCGGAAACCAGCACGAGGCGTAGCATGAGACGCCCCCCCCCCTTCCCACCCCACCTCTCTTCAACAATCACCTGCATCAGCGGCGGCGGCCCCTCCTGGTGCTGGGTGTCCGCGTCCGGGGTGAGGTGGCGGCGCTTGGCGCTTCTCGTCTCGTTCTCGCACGCCTGCGCCAGGATCATCTCGGCCTGCGCTGAGGACAGGTGACCAGTGGGCACCCGCCCCGGTCCGGCCACATCACTGACGGTCAGCGGCTCCTTCAGCCTCTTGTGGCGGCGACACGCCTGTGTGAGAGGGCAGAGGGATGGAGAAATGGGCAACGAGTCGCCAGATGATAAAAACTCTAGTCTACATTGTGATGTGGGTCTGGGTTAGATTTCAAAATATAGTATACCGCAGAATGAGACAGTCTGATTTAAGTACTCAGCTCCCAATTCATGCCGTTTATGTCAAAAATCGTAGACCATCTGGATAATAAGCTACAAATCTGAGGCGTGACATCGCGGCAAGACCACCATCAACCCAAGCAATGTCCCCACGATTCCCATGACCCGTGACATGACGGCGTTCTGACCTTGAGGTAGGTGCGGAGCCTCTTGCGCGTGCGGTCCTCAAACTCGGGGAACTGCCGGTTACAGGAGTCGATGATGGTCTGGATTCGCTCCTTGGGCTGTTTGCTGATGGGAACCGTCCGATCCAAGTGCTCGTCCGCGAACAGCCTCACAAACAGCTGTAACGAGCCGAGCCAAGTCAGAACGTATATACGTCCAGTGAATAAGATAGAGAATCGGACTGGTTGCATAACGATATGGGAAAGGGTCAGGAAAAATATCGAAATAAAATGGCAATGTCATAGCTTGAGCCAAGATGCAAGGAAAGTCCAGAAACTGCCGAAAAGAAGGTCGAAGATACTGATAATTGATATGTTAGCCGATAAGGCTTAATCGTTAAGAAGGTGGAGCTTCGCAAGAACTTCGAAAGGCATAAGTATCCCTCGCTCATAAATAGAATTACTCAGACAACAAATTCGACGATATCTTGCACTGTACGTCATACAAGTCACAAGAGGCGAAATTAGTGTCAAACTTTGACGTTAATATTTGTCGGCATAAGGCATTTCGTACTCTAGCAACGCCACAATTTCGACGAAGCATTTTTTATTGTTGTTCGGTAATTACCGAGAATGTAAGCACTTACGTTGAACGCCTTGAGCCGTTCGGGGTCGATGTTGGCGTCCTCCCTCTCCGGAGAATCGTCCTCATCCAGCTCCTCGTCCTCCTCCTGGCTGGTCGACTGGGGCGCCTTCGGACCGAACTGGCTCCCCGCCTCCGCAGCCTGCCGCAGTAATGACGATTGAAGATGATTTCGACAATATGCAAAAAATTTTCGCGGTCCCTCAAGTAAAATGCATGAATTTGTTCGTTGCAGCATTCTGTCCTTTTTATCACGTTATATGTGAATAGGTCTCACCGAAGAGTCTCCGTCCTGAGAAAAACTCGAAGCTTGAAGATCGCCTTGGCTTTGCGCACTCCGAGAATCATTTCCAGAGTCTTCAATCAGTTCGCAGGGCTCGACCTTGGGAACATTTACTGAAACAAAAAGAGACAAAATGTCATTTGTTTGCAATAATCTCAGTAGGCATCTAAATTGCTGAGTAGGCAAATATAGGTAGCCAAGAGATTATGCGATTCCATTCCTCATTAAATTCATGACCCAACTCAAACGGTACGTCGGGAAGGCACACAAAAGGAGAAACATATCAGACACACTGAAAATGTGCGATAGCGCGTTATGATGAGATGATACAACAGAGCGTAACTTACCACTTCTCTGATTTGACAATTGTTGTTCGAATACCGCCCTTTCTTTCTGGCGCTGTTTTTCCTGGAAGAAAGGACGAACAGGGAATTCAAACAGTACCCGAGCAACTGGAATCGAGCGGAACTGAATAATGGAACTATTTCTTTAGAATAATGAGCGATGCAAGTGTGCAATGGGTAGGTAAGCTATTGGGGCTTCCCATTTCACATCGGTGTGCCGTTTCTGCATCGATAAAAGTATATTTTATTAGGCAGCCCATACCACGATAACACCTGAAAAGCCGTCTCGACCGGACATTGCATCGTACCCCCTTGGCCCTTTATAATCATTTCAAGTCATGACGCAGCGTCGTGAAACGAAACCCAGACGTCGTTCATCGTTGCGTGCCACTTACCAGAACGATCCGTTCGATGATGGCCGACAATGACTGCTTGCGAGGTCGATAAGCGAACGGGATGTGAAGGTCGTCCATCTCCGGCTTCATCAATGTCAAATACGAATCGGGCTTTGAACGTTTGGGTGATAACTCCGTTTAGTCAGAAACGATGGCAAATCAAGACCCCACGATATAGTTACACCACCGCTAGATACAAACACCAATATTCCTTAATCGACCGGATCGGCCGGAGCGGCGTCACCAATCCAACTTCTGAACCCAAATAACTGAGTGAATTTTTCGCCACCCGCACGAGCCGAGAGGCAACAATCGGTCGATGCAGCACGTGCCGCGGCGCTAAAAATCGTCTGCCGGCGCTGTGACGCCGTCGGCTCGTGACTTGTACTCGCGACGCATCCTTCAGCTTGGGGAACCGCACCGCACGATAAAACAACGCCCAAGCAATACACCCAAGAGAAAACAACAGGGGTCCCGGGTCGTTCAGAAAATGCGCTGCCGGGTTTATCTCAATAACAGGGTTTGTGGCGTGACCTGAATCGCTAAGCACGAATCCGTCAGTCAACCAATTGGATACAGCTTCCACTGCTATTCAGTCGGTGAAGAGCGACTCATAACGCACAGCTCCGTGGCACAGCTGAGATTAGAAGGCAGGTACTGGAAGCAGATCGTTTCGATTCATCAATATTGAATTAATACGACATTAATTTCGGAATACAATGCAGCACACGCATTTCCCCGCAATATTTGACATTTACGTTACGGATAGTAATTCGATTGCCAATCAGTTGTTATTTAGCAGCAAGAGAAGGTAAATGTCGAGTGTTATTCAAGTGATCGCTTCTTGTTTGGAATTCTATCTTTGCCCTCCGAATAAATAATTTACACCCGTTCGCTGCTGATCCCTCAAAGGCATAGCACTAGTGTCAAACACTGTATTCGTTTTATAATGCAAAATCAAAAATCCATAAACACACCGTGGCGCGCTACAATAGGAGAAATGCCCTGGAGTATATGTCCTTGTGAAAGACCCTGATGTGTTGGCACCTAAATCCCAAGGCACGGTAAACAGTAACGGTTTTAACACGAGCTACATCTGCAATATCAGTTGGGAGCATACACCATATTGTAAAATACATCATTGAGTAGCATGAGGCGGCTTATTTCCTCTTTGGCCACCAATGGAGTTACGCTATTTCGCACCTGGCATACGCTTATACATGGACTTTCGACCCATCTCCCGTCACTGAGGACAAAGGCACCGCGCGAGTGAGGCGCCACTCACCTCCCAAGGGTCCCCGGACACCCCAGTGGCGACAGCCGGGCCGCGGCGGACTGACCAATCACAGGACGGCAGACGGCGCCACCAGCCAATCAGCGCGTCCGTGAGCGGCTGGCTGTGCTCGCGATCAGAAGTTGACGTAGGTGGCGGCCGTGGCCACGCCGCAGTTGTTGCCCTTCATCGACATGAGGACGTAGCCGGCGTTACCCCAGTAGGTGGACCACGAGTTCTTCACCAGCCAGTAAGGCTCGCCGTCCAGAATGCCGAAACCGACCGCCAGCACCGCGTGATCCAGGTTGTTGACGCTGTTGCCTGAAAACACGACAGGAGGCAGTCAGGATAGGCAAAAGGTTTTACAAAACAAGTTTTACAATGTCAGTACTTGCGTGATTTATAACCTCTGGTAGTTGATTACCTATCCTATCCCCGACAGTCAGGAGTAGGTACCCCACCCCGTTCGTGGTTTACTCCACCCGTAGTGATTTACCCCACACCGGTAGTGGAATCCCCCACGCTAACTCACCACACTCGGGCTCGTAGTAGACCCCGTTGGCGTAGAACACGAAGGAGCGGTGCGCTGCGTCGATGGCCACCGACAGCGGGCCGTGCTTCCACAGCGCGTACTTGGCCGCATGCACGCTACCCGACGGTACGTCAGTGTGGCCCTTGATACGAACCGCTCCAGCCTGGTGAGAGGAGAACGGGACATTTCGTGAGAACATATTGGGTGGGATTGTGCACTGATAGACACAGCGGCAAAAACTACACTGGCTTCAATTTACGCACATGCATATTGCTTTGAAGTAGTTTGGACTTGGACGCAAAAAATCGTCAATCGCACAAAGATCGCAAAAATCGTTAAGGTGAGCAAACGAGGCAGTCAGATTAAAACATGCAAGTTCTGCTTCTGTATTTTCCGCCTTTCGCTCTTCTGAACTCAAGCTACAGGTCATTATTCCGTCTCATCCTTCCAAGCCCTCTATCCATTTCCAGAGGGCTCTGAAAGTCATGCTTGCACCTCCGCTAGCTGATGTTTGTGCGAGGCAGGCTCACCTGCGACTCGTTGACGTGGCAGAAGGCGTCCGAGCCCAGGTACGGTCCGTAGCTGTCCTCGGTAGGCAGGCCGTGCTTCAGAATCCACCTGGAACCAGAGAAGGAGGGTGTCACGAAAACTGGCACACCGGTCAAAGTGACGACGAGCAGGGTAAGCCCCAAAACAAAGGGTGCTGTCGTAAGGGGATACAATAACAAAATATTCTTTCTTTCGCACAATTTGTATGAATACATGAATACGAGTAGCTAGCGCACTCGACTGTGTACACAATCTATCGACTCCTGAGAACATGCTCCTCGTCGCTGGGCAGCCCGCCGGCACACCATATCAAACTACCAGGGACGTCTGTAAATCCCCACCCGCTCCGCCCCGGCCCGGCGGCGCCACTGACTTGTACGAGTTGGTGTCCTCGCCGCCGTCACAGCCGTTGTTGCCCTGTCCCCAGCTGCAGTCGATTAGCGCCTGCTGTGAGAGCCGCACCAGCCGGCTCGAGTGCAGGAAGTACCCGCTCTCAACGGCGCCCGTGGTACCGAAACTCCAGCACGAGCCGCACACGCTCTGGTCTGAGGGGACAGCGCGGGGCAGGGGTCAGGCGTGTATGCTCCTCTGCTCAGTGGTGTAGGTACAGGAGTCACCCACGATTACCGGGAGAAGCCGAGAGCGGACGAAGGTAGTCACGTCAGCGAGACATCAATCGCTGGTGGTGATACTGTCAGTCGACATAAAAGCAGGCTTATTTCGACGCAAACGATACAAACAACCCTGAGCACAATTCTGATACCGCATCTAGAAAAAGACGTTCTTCGATTACCCAGCTGGCTTATATCGATGCAAAAAGGCGCGACTTCATCGCAATAGACATACCCTGCATGAAATACACCCATGCGTTACCTTTGACAGGAGTGACTGCACCTCGCAGCCTCCAGTCCCAGTCTGTGACGTTGTCGGGGATCCTAGTGTCCCGGTACGGAAACTTGAGGCTGCCGCGGTGTCTGGAAACACGCCACACACGGTCAGCTCTCATACACAGGGCGCCGGGGTTCGGTAGGGCACTGCGCACACCGCGCGGCACGGCGGCGGGCGGTACCGGCAGGGCTCGCAGTAATCGAGCGCGTAGGGTGATGTATTCTTAGCACAACTGCCTCCCTTTGGTATTCTTGTTTCGTTTAGCCAAGAAGCACAACAACAGCCAAAGTATGGTACGGGATTAATTACTTATTGTTATTACACTCCAATAAAATCTCGCAAGTAAGCTGAGTGTGAGTAAAAGTAGGCTTTTAATCACACCCGCCGAAAGTATCACCCCACTCTTCCCATCCCCTCCCCGTTTCCCCTCTCTCAGCTCTCTATCCCTTCCTTCCTCTCTCTTTCCCCGCTGCCACTTGTGTCATGTGATCAGCATGACCGCGTCGTGTTACATACCCCCCCCCCCCCCCCCACCGCGGGCTGGCGAACGGGGGACGTCGGACGGCCTGCACCACATCACGTAAACAGACGGGGGAGGTCTGCCAGGCCTCAGCTGCCCAGTCAGCGGAGAGGGGGGACTCTATCCACCGCCGTCAGCGCGGCGCCAGGGGCCGGCCGACTGCGTGAACAATCTCGGTCGGCCGACCGAAAGCCAGACCCACATGAACCGATCGAGCCCAACAAGGCACGACGGTGGTAAATGGCTACAAGTCATCAAGTTGGATAAAATATTTCCGATTTGTGAAGAAAAAAGAATGACACGATTCATTCATCAAAGCTCAATTTTACGTTAAAATACGAAAACAAAATATGTAGCTTGAATGCTTCTGCATTATTTGGGCAAACAAAACTGATGCTCACGAGATTCAGTTCCAACGCATGCTGATTAATGTATAATTGGGAATCAGCCGGGGATGTTTTGTGCAATTTCAGCATTGCACCTTGCCCCATCACTATCTTTCATAGTTCACAAACCTTTACCTATCGGCCACGAAAAAAAAAACAGCGCAAAACCCAGATTGTTTGGCGAAAAGGCTTACGGATAGATACACTTATTTAAATGGACTCAAATGCTCAACAACTCTAAGTGCTGATGTAGCATGAGCAGATTTATCTGAGAGTAGCATTGGTCGCATATCACCACAGTTTTACTGGTGCTGACACCCGGGGCTGTCCTAACAAAAACACGGCTCACGTGCGTCCAGTTCACCGACCCCAGGCTTCGACAAACAAAATACGGCCGACAGACTCATCCATGCGGGGTCACAGTCCGTCCGTCCCCAGCTTGAGCCGGCACTTTTCCGCAGAGCCGCACCCCCCCCCCCCCCCCCCCACAGATCCAGCATATCTCAGCAGATGCCCCTCTCTCCTCCCCCCCCCCACACACACACACAAACGCACACACAAATAAGACTCAGCTCTCGAGTCTCGTCCAAAGTCGCAACCCCAGCCCTCTTCCAGCCTTTGTCCGCTGTGCCCTCAGAATTCTCCAGAGCCGATAACCTAAACCATCCCATCTTGTTCCGTCTCAGCCGTCGCACATGGGGCATCCCCAGGGTATCAAGGTTCAGTACACAAGTTCCCATGCCCCAGGGTGACGCTGTCCATGGACGAGCTATACATGTCAGCCCGATTTCTCCACTGCAGCCCTCCCCTTCCCCCCCCCCCCCCGCTGCGACAGCGAGCACCTACCCGCCGTTGTAGCAGTAGCAATGGCACTCCCCCCCCCCCCTCAAACTTACCCGCTTTTGTAGTTGTAGCGGTAGCTTCTTCTCTGACCTACCCGCTGTTGTAGCGGTAGCAATGACCCCTCCCCCTTGGCCTACCCGCTGTTGTAGCAGTGGCCTCCCCCCCCCTCTGACCTACCCGCTGTTGTAGCGGTAGCAATGACCCTCCCTTTCCCTTGACCTACCCACTGTTGTAGCGGTAGCAATGACCCTCCCTTTCCCTTGACCTACCCACTGTTGTAGCGGTAGCAATGAACTCCCCTCCCCCCTCTGACCTACCCGCTGTTGTAGCGGTAGCGTAGCAGTGACCCCTCCCCCTTGACCTACCCACTGTTGTAGCGGTAGCCTCTCATCTGGTGCATCTCGGAATCGGACCGGTCGGTGAAATGGTTGGCCGCCAGCCGGAACTTCTGCCCGGAGCGGTTCTTCGAGTGGATGTATCTGAGCGAGCACAAACCGTTCGTCATCGGCATATCGAAATATTGTGATATGAAAATACTGGTTCAAATGCTCAACAAAGTCGATATCGATTTTTGTTCTGTTCTCACCTCATGTTGTGCCGGAAGTGGTTCTTTCTCTGCGTGTGCTCCTTGTCGTCCTCATACTGGCGGCCGTGGCGCGCTTTGAACGCCGCGAAACTCTCCTCCACGTGCGAGTCGTCGTTGTGGATGAACTCGCGCATCGGGTTCATCAGGTAGTTGTGTTCGCCGGCGCCCGGGTTCCAGCCGCTGCACTTGGTCGGGTCTGAGGCGCCGCACGGCATGCCCCGTTAGCGGCCAGCAGGTCGGAACTATAGGGAATGGCGGGCACTGACGTGCTCCAAAAGTATTTTACAAACGATGAAATTATTTTGGTTAGACTACAAGCGTCCATTTCAGGTAGGATTCATAACCGAAGCAGACGGACACAGATGCGGGGCAAAGACCATGCAAGCATATCAACTAATCGTTAAAATATCACATATCCTCACCAGCTGGCATCGGACTGACGCCAGTAACATAACCCGGCACCGCCTGGGCTATTTCCGTACCCACGACAGCCTGGGGGGGTCGGATCCGACCCCCCCCCCCTGTTATCTCGAGAACCAATGGTCGTATCGAGCCCCGCGAGGCGGCGTTCGAAAGGTCTCTACGAGACCTTCCCAAAGCACTCTTAAGATTTTAAGATTGAGGTCAACTTTCGGATCAAGGTCAGGTCAAAGGTCAAATTCAGGGGTTTTGCATGATTAGGCTTACGGACAGCGGAATCGATAGCTGCTGCTCGAAACTCACCAAAAATGACCTCAAAGGCCTAGTGAAGGTACCATGTGTGTAAAGGGGTCATACTAAGTACGGGTCAAGGTCAGGTCAGGTCACGAAAGGTCACGGTTTTCAATTTCTGCTACATGGGCGTGCGACACATGTTTTATGGCTTATTTTTCACGCCGAATCCGATGGTAATGGTTATATGTGACCCCAAGTCACTGTGCTGGTGATAAGTGTGCATTGAAAGCATAAAAAATCGTTTATACTATACGAGGGCTGAGAAAAAAAGGTCAATTTTCAACTTTTTATTTTTGACATAAAAATGCGCTTTTCTAGACGAGCTTTGTCCCAGGAATCTAGTGGTGCCATTTGTTTTCACATGCGATGTTCAGAAGTACCTCTAATTCACGAAAATGCTTATGACGTCACCATGCCCTATACATGTTGGAGCTATTTTTTACAATTTGGGGGTCAAAAATCAAGATAGAAAGTTGAAATATGGGGCATCTAATGTTCTAATAGAGCTCTACAACATATACTCCGGTTTTTTGGAAATTCCCAAAATTTTGGATTTTATTAGCTGTTTTCCAAAAAATATAGTTTTTTGAATTTTCAGGGGTGAAAAACACATTTTATGGAAAATCCGAGATAGCCAGTTTAAAGAACTCGTTGAGCTGCGTCTTTTCATGTCCTTAATTTGCAATTTGCTTTAAACCCTGATTTTTGGCGATTTTTTAAACATTTACCACTTTTTGACTAAAAACGCCATGTAGTTACATCACTAAATCGATATATCTAAAAAAATTGGAAATTTTTCCTTAAAAATTGCACAGGAGACGTCAAATTGATGGGGGAGAAGGTATGCCAAGTTTCAAGTAGATAGCGAAAGTGGTTCATGAGTTATTCAAGAAAAACGGAGGGGGGGGGTCGGATCCGACCCCCCCCCCCCAGGCGGTCGCGGGATAACACCGCAGATCGAATTTCATTCTACGTAAAAAGAAAACGTATTGCATCATATCCGACCCACTAGATCAGATGTCAGCGCACACCGGCCAGCTCTCGACTCCGCGCGGGACTCACCGGGCGGGCTGATGTCGGCCTTGGACGGCGTGGCCGCCACGAACGTGGTGTACTGCACGATGTAATGGTCAAAGTGGGAGCCCAGCAGGCTGTCGTAGCCCTTCATCTCGTACAGTACCGGGTGGTAGCCGCCCTGGCGGTCAGAAACAGGTCAGGTCAGGTCAGCTGGCTCAGGACAGGGCAGGGCAGTGTAGGTCAGTGCAGTGCATGCCAGGTCAAGTCGCATCTACGGTAGTACGTAGATGTCCTGGCGATCAGCAATACATTTAGGTCAGGACAGAGCAGACCAGGTCATATACACCGGAAAGGTAGCTGCCCTGATCGCAAAACCGGGTCAGGTCAGGTGTAAGGTCGGTTCTTGAACACCAGGTGGTAGCCGTCCCAGATCAGGTCAGGTCATGTTAGCATCAGCGGACCGTAGACCAAATATCCTCTGATAGGTCGTAGGAGGGAGGCTAGGTCGGGACAGGTCGGCACCAGATCATGTCATTGGGTCGGCCGGGGGGAACGGACGGACCGCCTCACCTCGGTGGTCGTCCACAGGGTGTAGAGGTTGTGCTTCTGGCCCACATCCTCCTCCATTGTGAACTTGTCGCACATACGGCCGGAGAACTTCTCGCGCCGGACGAAGCTGAAGTTGGCCACGTTGGGCACCATCGGCTGCGCGTGCATGGGCGCCTCGGCACTGCCGGGGGTCTGAGGGAACAGCAGGTCAGTGGGATGGGGTGGCCGCCGCAACAGAGCGGCAGCTCCAACACCGATCGTGCCGAGTCCGGAGAGAGTGAACGATATCAGCTGCGCAATAGCGTAGTAGCTAATAGAAGAGCGGAAGATGAAACCGAGCAGGAAATCAAGAGCCAAGATTTGTTACAATCTGAAACGACCCCGTAAATCAGTACTTTCGGCGAATAAAACGTTCAAAGTTTCTCCGTGTGACCCAGACACATGCCATCAGGATTGCTGCAGGGGACGCAATTATGATGAGAAGCAGCATATATAACTTACGTAGGTATGGTGTAGAAAACTGAAAGGAGTGCTTACCTTGAAGCACATCATCTTGTTATAGACCTTGCCATCAACGGTGACAGGCATGATTTTGAACGAGCTACCCCCGTCCTTGCCGCCCATCTGATAGGTCTTCATGACGCCTGCAAGACGTACCGTGTGAATTATTTGTGCTGGTTATGTCAGGCATTACCATCATGTTCCAGTTCATTGCTAACTGAATCAAACGTAGATTTCATAAGAAAGCTTACAAGATATCTGTAACCTGTGCGTGTTTTCATCGAGATCCATAAATAGCAGATGATGGAGCCCAACTACTCCCTCCATTAACTCTGCACCAGCACGGCATGCTCCTCGTCTCACCGTTGTAGTAGTCGAGTCGGCTATTGTCGGCCTTCAGGTCCACCCAGGCCGAGAAGGGCTCGTGCAGCTCGGCGTACGGCAGGTGCAGGATGCCGGAGGTGATGTAGCGGTCCGGCATCGGCTTCGGCGGGTCGCCCGGAGAGTAGCCGGCGGCACCTGCATCATACGCACCGTCAACAAGGTGCGAAATAAATAATCGTCGATTCAACTCTCCTGGGCAAACCATGACTGGAAATTTGCAGATTCCGTCGCAAAAGCCCTTCTCTCAACGAGAATTTCTGATGACTCATGACTCAAATGAGCAAAGGGTGAAGACAGAGGTAGATAGAACACTCAACCGTCGGTCGGGCACTGCACTCGTGGATTTATGTGCTTCTGGTCCGGGAAACGAGACTTATTTGTAAGGCTCAAATATCTTGAATTTATGGATTACTGACCAAGCCAGAGCCGGCAAAGCAAAGCTCGTGCAGACAGTGACCTCTGACGCCCGATCGTAGAGTCCCGGAACGAAGGTTTAATATCAGTAGCGAATAGGCCGGCCCAACATATGACTCTCACTGTCATATGGGGAGCAGAAACGACCGGGCTGGGCCAGGCCGACGCACAAACTGACGGAAGTCTTAACTTGAATTACGCTTGCGAGACGAGGGAGGAAACGCTGCCCTTTCCATTAATGTTTCGCTGAAGAATAAAGATAACACTTGTATCAACACAGAAGCAAGACAACACCTCAAGTCTCAACCGATAGAAAATTATGGAGGAGCCAGTGTTCACAGGCAAGACCAAGGCACGGGTATAAATGTCAAAATGAGTGCTCATTAGCTTCATTTTTTTCACATTTGAAGTAGACTAGTAGCAAATCATGCTGTCAGTGATTGGCAGTTGGCATCCAAAAATGGGCACTATGCTCGGGACCGGGACTGGGACAGCGAGACTTGAGAAGCCGAGGTCGGCGTCCCACGCGGTCGGTTCGGAATCGGGGGCTAACAGGAACTAGGAAGTAGAATATTGAAGATACATACATGTTAACAGCAGAAGTAGAGCCCCAAACTGCAGATCCATTCTGTAAAAGAAAAAAGCACCACTTCAGCTGCTAAATGTCCAAGACCTTGGTAGGTACTCGTCCACGTCACAGCGGGCTGACACAGACGATCATGATCATGTTACAGTTCCAGTTCAAGTAGAGTCGGGGGCCTTTACAAACTGAAATGGTCGCAAACCATTCAGCATGAACACTGGTGAAACGTCAGCGTGGAACACCAACTGTCTACTGGAGCACACCTGCAAACAGACTGCTAGATTCCCCAGGAACGTTGCGCGAGAATCCCCTGCCGACTTGGGTCACGAACTGAAATGAGTGATTTGAAAACAACAAAAACAACACAGGAGTGAATGACCTTGAACTCTCAATAGTGAAAAAAGAGTGCCAATATTTCATTCCTTCAGGTAAAAACTTCAATTACGTTACGTTACGTTACGGTATACGGGTTGTGGGAGGCCAATTTGGCCTGTGGGGCCCGGTCTCAGCGAGCTCCCAGTGCTTATCGACAGTCAGCCTCAGGTTGGGTAAGATCGGGTTCAGGTGGGAAGGCTTTGCATGATGTCAGCCCAGTGGGCATCCAGCCTGGTCTTGAATTGGTTGACTGACGTAGCTGATACGACCGCTTGCGGGAGAGCATTCCATGGGTTAATAACACGTGTACTAAAAGAGTGTCTTCGGATGAACGTCGTGGCCCGCGGTTTCGCTAGTTTCCACTCATGGCCTCTTGTTCTTCCTGAAGTTGATCTGGTGAGCAGCTTCTCGGTGGGGACCGCCATGCCACCATGCAGAATCTGATAGACGGCTATCATATCACCCCGTTGACGTCTGTAGTATAGCGAAGGGAGCTTCAGTGCGCGCAACCTCTCTGGATACGACAGGTGTCGGACAGTTTGTACCAGGCGAGTAGCTCTTCGTTGCACCCGCTCAACCTTCTTCTGGTCCAGCTTACTAAACGGTCCCCATACGAGGTTCCCATACTCCAACAGCGGTCTCACCAGTGTCTTGAATAGTAATGGGAGGGTGTTTGAGTCCAGGTTCGCAAATGACCGCCTGATGACCGACAACACCTGAGAGGCCTTCGACACTGCAGCCGCTGTCTGCTCATGAAACTTGAGTTGGTGATCTATGATGACGCCTAGGTCCTTCTCTACGGTCGCCTCGCTGATGGCACTGTCTCCGAGGCTGTAGTGCATGCGAGGGTTTCTGGTCCCAATGTGCATAATCTTGCATTTACTTGCGTTGAAGCGGAGGAGCCACGTTTCCGACCAGCGAAGGAGGGCGTCAAGGTCCTGCTGAAGAGTTGGCATGGAAAGCGCAGTAGGAACGCGGCAGTACATCTTGGTGTCATCGGCGAACATCCGAACGCAGTTCGTTACACATTCGGGTAGGTCGTTAACATAGATAATAAACAAGGTAGGACCCAAGACAGATCCTTGAGGGATTCCGCTTGTAACGGGGGACCAGTCTGATGCGTCTCCCTGGACCTGCACCCTCTGCAAGCGGCCAGTCAAGAATGATCCTATCCACCGTAGGAGTTTGCCGGAGATGCCATATGCCTTCAGTTTCCCGAGGAGGCGCTTATGAGGGACCGAGTCGAAGGCTTTTGCAAAATCGAGGTAGCATACGTCGACTGGTTTACCATCCTCAATAGCTGCGCTCCAGTCGTCCAGAACTTCCAAGAGCTGAGAAGTACAAGACCGCTTCGGCAGAAACCCATATTGAGCTGGGTGCAGCAGGTCATTGTCAGTCAGGTGCGAGATCAGTCGGTCTCTCACCATGGACTCAAGTATCTTGGAGGGGACAGAGGTGAGGCTCACCGGCCGGTAGTTTCCCGGGGACCGTTTGTCTCCCTTCTTGTGGATCGGGATCACATTCCCAGTCTTCCAGTCCGGAGGAAGGATTCCGGAGTCCAGCGACTTCCTGAACAGAGTGCACAGCGGGAGAGCAAGGCCGTTTGCAGAATCTCGCAAGGCTCTAGGATGAATGGAGTCCGGTCCTGGGGCACTGGTTGTCTTCAACGAGGAGAGCTTCTCAGCAACAGTCGCGGGCGTGATCTCAATGTCATCAGCTGGTTGACAAACCGGCTCGACTGTCAGTACTGGTAGATCATCGCTGCCTTCCTCTGTGAAGTTACTGGCAAAGAACCTGTTCAATATACAGGCTTTTTCATGATTTGATGTAGCGACTTCGCCCCTTTCGTCCCTGAGGTCACCAACTCCACATCTTGTTTTCAATCTTGATGACGTGTACCTCCAGAAAGCTTTTGGATCGTCCTTTGTCCTTGATGCTAGTTGTTTTTCGAAGCTCCTACGAAGGTTTCTCGTTAGAGTTCTAAGCCTGTTGCGACACGTTGCGTACCTGGCAAAATCGATCACATCTTTAGACCTTATGTAGATCTTCCATAGCTGGGACTTCTTTTTCTTCAGCTGGATGGCTTGCCTGTCCATGTACAGGTTTCTGGACCTGAGGGCAGTTGGCACTGCTCGGGTGCACAGCTTGACAGCCCAATCCCATTTGCCCTTGAAGAAGGAGTAAGCGTCAGTCAAGTCCATGGAAGTCATATGGCCCCAATCGATGGAGGCTAGGGTTGAAGCCAGTTGATTGAAGTCCACACGGCACCTCTGGTCCTTGGGAAGAATTTTGGCTGCTGAGTAGCATACCAGTGAAAAACGAAGAACTACATGATCACTGTTTCCCAGGCAGGGATGGTATTCAACATTTCTTACCATGCCCTCTTCATTGGTTAGTATAAGATCTAAAGTGCTTGGAGCTTCACCCACTCGGTATCGTGTCGCCTCTCGAACATGTTGGTAAAGAAAGCAGTCGTGAATGCATTCAATGACAGCATGAGAAGGATGAGTCTCAGGGGCTGTGGACACCTCGCTTTCCCAGTTAATTTGGGGGAGGTTAAAATCTCCCGCAATCATCAGGTGGGATGCTCCATGATTACATGCCTCTTTCAATGTACTTGACAGCTGTTCAGTGCTTTCCTGTATGGGCCCGGAGGGACTGCGGTAAATGCATCCAAGCAACAACTCATCCTGTCCATGGAGGCCAACTTTGAGCCACAACTGCTCCACATCACGTTCGGGGAATGGTACTTCATATACAATGAGTGAGCTGGACACATATATGCATATTCCCCTCTTCCCACTTTTTCCAAGCATTGTATGTGAGGGGTCAAAATTGCTGAAAATTGTAAAGCCTGGGATGTGCAACAAAGCAGGTGAGATAGGAAGAGTCTGAGCTTTGGGGATGACTTCCGTGATCATAATTATATCAGGCATATTGTCACAGATAGCCATGCACAGGTCGTCCCGCTTACTAACAAACTGGTCGGCATTTGTGTATAACACCTTGAACTGTGCACTGTCCGCTGAGTCAGTATGTCAATACTGACGTGGTCTGCTTCCGGAAGACCCACTACCAGCATGGCTGGGAGCATTCAGAGCTGGTTGTTCTTGGACGAGAGAGTCTACAGGTTGACTTTGTTGCCTGTTGGAGCTTGAGGCTTCTGGTGCGACTGAAGCTTTTTCACCAGTCTTGGCTGCGGTAGTATCTGAGCTGGTCTTGTCATGTGTGATGGGTTTGGCAGATCCCTTCATGATCCTGCCCTTGAAGATGTACAGCTCTTTCTCTCCAGCCATCCTGCGGCTGTTGAGTTCAGCTCTCAATACTCGGTTCGCTTCTCTTTCCTTGAAGGTCAAATCAGGAGAGATATATATGTTGCTCCACCTGGCACTGTCCCTCAACTGCCTCGCACTTTTGAGAAGCTCAATCCTAGTCTCTACGTTTTCCAGTGTAGCAATCAAGAGTCTAGGTTTGCCAGGTTGCACTTTGCCAGCTCGGAAGGCTTTCGTAACTCTGATGTTGAGTTTCAGTTCCTCTCTGACCAGCTTGATGAATTCCACTTTGTCCCTATCAATACGCTCAGCCGGTGTTTGGCCTTGATCGTCTTCTGGCAAGTTGTGGACCACCACATTGCACTTCCTCCTTTCTTTGTCATTGTGGCTGTCAAAGATACTTGCAATCTCCTTGGCTGCCTGAGATCCTATGTTCACTGCTGGTGCTGAAGTTTCAGCTGGTTTGATTTCCCTGACAGATTTGACAACCTCGTCACAGGTACCTTTCACAATGCTAGCATATGAATCCTTCATTTCCTTCTGTTCCTTGAACGAGCGTTCAACAACCCGCGTTTGGTGAATCAGTGCAGTCTCCTGCTCCTTGAGAGATCCCTGTACTCGCTTCATATGCTCCATGAACATAACTGTCAGACCCTCCACTTTGCTCTCAAGGGTTGAGATTCTTTCAGTCTGACGAGTGATTGTGTCAGTCTGTTCAGTTATCTTTTCCTTCTGTAGGGCAAAATGATCTGAGAATTCATGCTCTTCCCCTCTTTTCATTATTGACACCTTGCACTCTGCACACAGCCATGACAGTATCGGGAACCTGTTGAGTGCTCTGTATGCACCGACAGGGACTCCCTGGCAGGAAGAGTGAAACCATTGGTTGCACTTGTCACAATGAACGCCCTGGTCATCCTCTTCAACCGGGTTCCCACACACCAGGAGGTTGGGTCCCCCTTTGCAATGTTTTGCCCTGCCATCGCCCTCACTGCTCGTGTGGCTGTGACCTGATCCCCAAAGCCTGTATGCCTCTGGGCTGAGTTTACCAATGCTTTTTGATTCTCCCCCCTTGCATTCACTTTCCTTACCAGTTGCAGACTTGATGATCTCCTCAGAAATCACAATATCCGGAGCGGTATTAAACTGAGACACCGCATCTACCGCATCTACGTCTTCATCATGTCCTCTAGCAACTTCTTTCTCACTTGCACTTACTTTTGCCGCAACGCCACTGGGCGCAGAAGCATGACATAATCCCGCTTTATTTCCAATGGCAGATTCATGCTGTTGGTCTTGAGGCGTATCTGACGCACCTTCCGTGAAAATTCCCGCGCGTCGCTGCAAGGGCGGAGATCGCCCAACCGGCATTTCCGCGAGGTGTTCAACCTTCCGCTTCGCATATAAGGGATTAATAGAAGGTAATTCTGGATTTGTTATCTAAGGATTTATAACCTGGAACGATCGTGGTTGAGTAATTGTGGTGGATAGTGGAGCGTTGTCTGCCAAAACCGGGAGCTCCTGGAGACACGTCTGCCCTCCACCACGCCCCGACACCGAATGGTGTTTAGAAGAAACCCCATTACGAGAAAAATCTGTAAATCTTCACTCAAATTTTATTATGAAAGATAATTATAATTCGATATTGTGGTAACAAAAAATATTAGAAAAAGTAATGTTATTTGATATAAAATGTCATGCAGAAATATGATTATTCCTTCGTCAAAATATGAAGCAATAATGCTACCATATTCATCTGTTTACGTCGTGATAAGACGAGCAGCGGCGCCCTCCGTGTCCCTTTCGCCGCGTTCTCCGCTGGCACGGTGGAGAGAGCGTGTATGTGGAATTTTAAAATTAATTGTTAACTGTTGTAGTGTGTTTGCCAGGCATCACTCAGCAATAAAAAAGATATTCTAACGGGTGAGCACTAAAATTTTGCACAAAATTCATTTGTTTATAAATCACATTATATTCAGCAGATTAGCGTACAACTTTCATAGACTGGAGATCTGTACCTCCGCTTTCACATGCTGCTTAGTGGACGCAGGTATTGGCTCCTGCACGTGCAGCGTGTTGCACGCGCTGTGGTACCCCCTTCATCATCTTGTGCACTAATTCTTGGTCCGTGTAGCTGATGCCCTTCTAGATTTTCCTAATGAGCTGGGTGTCATTCGTCGCTTTCCAGCCTCCTGCGTATGTTTTGGCCTTAATTCAACTACTCTTGTTTGCATCTTGAACCATGCCTGTTTTCGCGCAAACATATGTGCAGGCGCTCCACTCCGGTAGTAGCAACTGCTGGTGCGCCTTGTGTCTGCGGGTTCCTACTGTATCCCTGCCTACTCCTTCCTGTCTGCAGACGTGAGATTGGGAACCCCACCAGGTGAGTGAGTGAACCAGGTGAGTTAATCATAGACCACTGACGCTGCACATGGGTCTCAGCTGTATGCACTCAGTGGGCAGCATGGCTGGCTGTCACCCTTCGGCACCGACGGTATGCTCTCATGGAGCACCTCTTGCGTCTCACGAGCGTAATGGCACGATGCCAGTTCCGGCCAGAACATAATTTCGTCTCCACTATGTTTTTCTTCGATGAAGAGGACAAACATCTTGGTCACGCGCTGTTTTCGGTAGATTTGACCACCCAGGGCACCTCCGCTTTGACAGAAGAAGGGCTAAAATACACCTCTTTCGCTGACGGCAAGCCACACAATTATTTTCTACGGAAACTTGTTTTTTTAGTTGAACCGAACATGCTCAGGATCTTCCTGAAGAGGACCCGATGTATAAAATCCCTGGTTTTCCGGCACGGAGTGCCTTACGGTAAACGGTTTACCGAGCTCACGATTTTTTCGTTAAGTTTCGCCACCCCTTTTAACAACGCGTCTTTCTTCTTTGGCTCCGTGTTCACGATTGGCAGGGCAAAACAGCTTATATTGCATATGAACAGAAAGTATTTTTCCCAACCTTTCACCTGGTAGTTGTTGTTTTCACGGGCATCAGGCAATTAATGTTCTATTGACATACAAAGTTTGTGCAAAAATTTAGTGCTCACCCGTTAGGAAGGTCAATATAGGGTAAATATTGATCCCTTCTATCACACGAACTAGCTTTTACGAATTAATCAAAATGGTTAATGCAAATATGCAGGTCTTGGTCTCACGGGTTTTAGCGGTAGGTTTTGCCCATTTAAAATTAAATAAATTTCCGGCTATATCTTCTTCGTCTTAAGCTTATGAGGGTTGAAGATGCGATAGATTTATTCGTACACATGCCTGCCATGATCCTCTAAAATTGCTTCGTCGTAGATGGATAAGTTTCTGAGATATAGCGGTAAATGTAAACAGGCAAAACCTAACTGTAACGCTTAAACCTGCGAGAGCCGTACATTGCATGTAATTTCACTTCACTTTGGTACTGTTGACCTAAAGGCTAAAGCCAGTTCAAGTTTGATTTTCAGAAGAAATACTGGCTGCTGCCATTTTTATTCCGAAATCCATAGTCGCCCAAAGTTCTTGGTCTTGGTGGATTGAAGCCTGAACTCTGAAGGAGCCGAGGGAAATTATCAATGACAATGAGGAATTGGATGGCTAATTAGGACCGTACTTGAAGAATTGATACAGGCACTGACTATGACCTAAAATAACTAGCCTAACTTACCCTGAGCCCTAATTATTGTTGATTTGTTCGTTTTCCAGGTCACAGTGTAAATTTGCCAACAGTACATTGCAGAAATGGAGGATAAAGCAGGATGGAAGGTGGAGATGCTGATGGAGAAGCTGCGAGCGAAGTCTTCCAACATCAGAACTCTCCAGGAGAGCTCTAAAAATCTCCGCCTGGCACTAATGGTAAGCAGCTGGATGTTTGGAAGGAATACCCAGTCAGCAGTCTTATTGGGCTGCAATGCTGCTACTCAAGATACGATCTTCACTCATTGTATGACTCCTTTGAATCGCCCATAGCCCACAGTTTATGTATTCGGTCTTGGTGTGACTGGATGCGTTTGACCCCTTCCCCGTGCGGCCACCGCAGGACAAGCGTCAGACTGTGGACAGCGCCGACAGGGCGCAGCTCCAAAAGTGTCTGGACCAGCTGCAGGGCAAGGTCAAGTTTCACAGCCTGCAGGGCATGCTGGATCGCCTGGAGAGCGTCGCCAAACAGCTCGGGTGAGTATCTGGCAGGAAAAACGACATGTAGTCTGATGCCCCCCAGTCCGGGATGAACTGGTATATGTACTCTTCAATCGGTTGATGCGTTTCAGGCATCAATTTGGAGGTAGATGCAGAACGTATCTTAATTTAGAAGCCACAACCCTACTGCTAATAGCATTTTCCGTTAGAGGTCTCAAGAATTTGCTGATTTCAGAATGTATTTGCTCAATATTCTGTAGAGTACTGCAAATATTGCCATTATTTACGGTAAATCGTACTCCCCACTGACGCCGCTCTCGGTGCGCCGCGGCAGGATCAAGTTCCGTCTGGGCAGCAGCGGCCAGGGGTGTTTCATCGAGTGTGACATGTTCTATGTGGAGCTGGAGCTTCACTCGCCGTCCGGTCAGGTGCGCGAGGTGAAGATCCAGCATCAGCCAGATCAGGCCACGCCGCCCCAGGTGAGACCCCTCAGTGAACTGATCAGGCCGTGTCTCCCCAGGTGAGACCCCTCAGTGGACTGATCAGGCCATGTCTCCCCAGGTCAGACCCGTCAGTGAACTGACCAGGCCACGCCGCCCCAGGTGAGACCCCTCAGTGAACTGACCAGGCCGTGTCTCCCCAGGTGAGACCCCTCACTCCTCAGTGAACTGATCAGGCCGTGTGTCCCCAGGCCAGACCTGTCAGCTGACAGAGACGGAACGGCTAGAAAATGTAGTGAACTCGGGTGCCTGAAACGACTTGAAAAGCGGGCCGTTGTATGTTGTTTGTTGGTGATCTGGAGCTGCGGAGTGTTTTTTTTTAAAATATGATGGTCATCGGAAAGCGATAAACTGACACGCATCCGTGTAGTAACTGGTATGGTATTGGTATTGGATGTATTGTCTCGACCCTCCTATCGTCTATCGTGCTGAAATAATGCGCGGACCATATTAAGTTGAAGCCTATGTCAATTGTTGCCGTCCTTATCCCATTGACTGATGGTGCTGTGAACTCAAGACGCCCAGCTCAGGTGTGTCAGGTTCTTTCCAATGCATCTTTCAAAAGTATCACCACAAGCCGTACCAGCTGTCAGTTGACCGCCCTCCTGTCCCTCCAGCCGTGCCCGGAGCTGGTGAAATGCCTCACCGCCGGCGACTTCACTGAGTTCACCGCCCACCTAGAGGGCCTGCTGGCGCTCTACAAACTCAACGCCGACCGCAAGCTGAAGATGCGCGCCTACCCGGCGCTGCGTGCCATGGAGGAGGACCTGTCGCGCCTGGCGGCCATTCAGGCCACCTCCATCCCCGACCCGCGCTCGCTGGTCCACCGAGGGCCGGTCGGCATCGTGCAGCTGCGCCGGCTCGGTGGGTGAGAAAAAGGAAGCTAGCCCTGTCTGTTATTTTATTTCTTGTTCGCCTTTTCAGTACCTATTTTGAATTTGAATGTCTTTGAATTTGAATGTCTTTGAATGTTATCTGGAATATCGAGGTTCTTTCGGAAAATGCTTAAGACTCGTACTTTATTTATTTTTCATACAGTCTTGGACCCGTCAGCGAGAATGTTGTGTGCATCAATGTTCTTTGTAAATTAATGTTTTAAGTGCGATGCTGCGGGGTGGCAGCGTGGCTTAAAGATGAGTTCCCTCCACTCGGTTGGTTTGCAATCCTAATTTGGGCGAATATCGGGCTTCCTCCCCAGCCTCAATCGATGCACCAATACCCAGTGTATAATGTCGATCCTGTCCTGGTCTCCTCCAATTCCCCTAAATCTCTCCCTAACCCCTCTCCTTCTGTCCAGGCCATTATTGACGCGCATGTTGCCCCTGCACAGGTCACCCGATGCGTCTGACGTACATGGTGACTCCGTACCACCTGCTGGACGTGGAGAGTCGGCAGCTGCTGCCGCTCACCGTGGAAACGGTCACCTCGCGCGGACTCGGACTCTGGGCCGAGGTGTGTCTGCAGAGCTCGACCGCGCACAAACTGCAGACCACCGGGCTCATCAGCGTGGAGGAGAGGCCAGATGGAAAGAGGTGTGTGCTGGGGACTGAGTGGGGTGAACGGGGGAGGCGATCGCAGAGAGGTTAGAAAGGCAAGTAGGCATGCGCAGAAAAAAAGCATTGATTTGCAGAGAAAACTTCTTTTGTGACGGTATCAGTGCCTGGAACTTGTACTCCCTGCTTCCAGATTGGCACTTAATGGTAGAAGGTCGATACAGTGTGTGTTAGGATTTACAGAGATGCCGACTCTGAGGTCTCTGAGTGGTATCGCTCGATAATTCTCTGACGTTTCTTTGTGGTGTTTCGTGGGTGTAATCGTGAACAGTGTCTGCTAGGCTCCAGAGCAAATGACCTCGTAATCGACGCGCCCCAATTAATTAGCCCCCAAGTGATGGGCTCCAGTATACCGTCATCCTCACTCCCCAGTTTAACG